CCTGAAGATCCCCTGAAGTAAGACACTCCAGATGATGGTAGTAGACTTTAATTTGACCCAAAGATCAGATCTGGAGCTTTTGATGACTATCACTTTATTAATGTTTAGTTTCCAGGAATCACAATTCTTCTGCCTATTAATCCCAGTAACGTATCCGTCACAGTGAAAACAGTTTTTCATTCTTCATTATAGTTTTTTTAACATTTTTCAGATAGATTTTTTCTCTCTGAAAAAGTGATGTTTGTGGATCCACAAATGCATTAAATCTTTGTTTAAAATCCAACCCATGCCTTTAAAATATCTCCATTTTCAGCCAAAACAGGCAGAGACATGAACCAGCTGAACCTTCCTTGTTCACTCAGTGCTACCAGCCTTGTGGCCTCACACTTGTACAGATCCCTACACAGACAATGCATTTCTAGAATGCAGTTTCTTGCCAGCTGGAATCAGAACTTCAAGGTAGACTTTTGTTGTCATTGCTTGTTTGTAAATGCACTTCATAAGCCAGAATCAAAGATCTGCCTCAAAGTTAAAACTAGAAAGCTGCCTAAAAGTGCTACTTTGTGGCCCCTGGCAACATGCAAAGTTATCTGCTACAAGAGGACGATTCATCCAGGAAAAGAAGGAATTTTAGTTTCAGTTTAAGAAAAAAGACACTCCATCTAGCTTGATATTTAGTATGTGCCCTAAACAGGGGGCAAATGTCTTTCTGTTAGCTTAGGCATTAGTTGAAGCATTTTAGATATTGCAAATCAAAGAAACTGTTCATTTAAAAAGAAACCCATAATGATCTCTACTTTTTTTTTAAGCAGAACTTTGCAAAATGCGTTGCTCCAAGCTCACTGGGTAGCAATTGAACGTTTTTGCTGCTTCGTGTGGGTTCGTGTATCTCGAGTCTTGTTTCTTGTTTCGTATTTTTCTGAAATAAATGCACCAATTAAAATGGATTTGTGTTTAAAACATTACGAACCAACAAAGGAATTTTGCTTTTACACCTAAGAATGACTTGTCTTTATAGATCTGAGAGTGCAGACTCTTGCAGAATGTGTGCAAAGCATATTTTAAAGAGCAATCCTAAAATCTTTCTCAGGGTGTCACAACAGAACACAGTCTTTTTAAACACATAAAATAAAGCATGCTGATTAATTATTTAAGTGTCCCTGCAAAGCAATGGATTTATTTCAAGAATTAAAAGACATAGTCATAGTATTCCTCTTGAAGGGCTGATTTTGCTGAAGTTTGAGAAAGATAAAACCTTGGTGTTAGTGCTGCTCTGTTAACCATCAGCGTTTCAGCAAAAGGATTAAAGTAAAAGTCCTGTCACAATTGTTTCTTATTTTAGGGAAGTGGGATTGTTTAGTCTAAGCAGAGAAAGGACTTTAATTCTTTGAAGCACACAGGGATGGAAAGTTGCAGAGCTGTACTCAGGTCAGTTTGATCTAGCCTGACAAAGGGGAGAGTTAAAAAGCTCTCTGTAGAAAGCTCTATCACCAGGCATCCTTTTTCTGACGATGGGATCTCTTATGCCTGTATTACTAACTACTCAGTTCTTCTCTCTTCTTCCCAAGTCCATATACAGCGAGCACTAAAAGTCACATCCTTGTCACTGCTGGCTCTTGGCCACTCACCTTCCCTTGGTCCCACCACTAGAACCCTTTGCTTTGACGCTGTAACCTTGCACAGCTGCAAAACAGCATTACACCTATCACAGCTACAGCAATTTACAATGGCACCTATTTACTCCATCAAGTGCTGTTCCTACTATTTCAAGGACTAAACAGTGATGAAAGCAAGCTGATCTCCAGTTTCTTCCAAAGCACTAGGAACAGAAGCTGAGCACTGAAGATAGACTGATGTTCTGCAACAGTCATCACTGATATTGACTTAGTAAAGTGCTACTGCAACAATGCTTCAACTGTTGCAAAATGCTATTCCAACAAGGAGGCCAAAACTCAAAGTCATGGCTATTGTAACTCAGTGCTTATTCAGAAAAATCCCACTGGACTCTTTTGCTCAAACATTTTGGATTGTTTGTATCAACAGGAACCCGAACCTGAGCAGCTTGAACAGTCAAAGTATGCAGACAGAACAGGTGAGAAAAAAATTCTTAGAGCTGGCCTAAAATCCTGAGGATGTGAAACTGAGGTAGGAAAAAGCAACCAACCAACCAAACCAAACCCAGGAAAGTTGTACTAGACTGCTGTGGAATCCCATACTATGGTATACTGCATTTCACTGTGAACCTGCATTTTATCTTTACAGGGAACACTGTAATCAAACCATCCCTCTCCCAGCCCACTCTGATCTCCCTTTAGAAAGATGTGCTCTCTTTGAGTAACTCAAATATCATGCATGGACAACTCTATGCATTTGCTGCAATGTTTCATGCAGTAAGTGTTGTCTTAAAAGATGCAATTGCATCTACTTCAAGTCAAGTATTTTTTTTCCTCTCCACCAGTCAAAAATAAAGAAGGATGTAATAAATAAAACAGTGGAAGGAGGCCAAAAAGGTATTTGTCTTCGTGTTATTTTGTGGCTTACCGCATCATACTGAAGATCTCTGCATTATACAGCATTGAATGTTATATGAATCTGCCTGCCAACATAGAGTGGTTCCTTTCTTTTCCAGAAGTGGATGAAGAAAGTAAATGCTCTCTTTTAATTACAGATTAAGATGGGAAGTGGTTATGTGTATAAGAAAATTAAACCACCATATATTTTATCTGTATCAACCCATCACATTAAAAGGAAGTATGAAAGGTTAATCTCAACATGATGCCTCTCAACTTCTCAAATATGCTTTGTCAGCACTGCTTATCTTTTTGACTTCATAAAGCTTACAGGTATTAGGAATTAATCACCATCTAGATTTTTGCTTATATCGGGTTTTCAAACCCTGTCCCATTATCTTCTCCAAGACATTTTTCAGCTTTCCTCCATTCCTGCCCTTGGTACACATGAAATTTAAAATCTAGATCACAGTAGATCTCTCATCAAGGGCCCGGAGAAACACAAAGCATACATACTAAGCATACATAAATTTAGAATATGTCTGTAAACTAAGTCCTTACAGCTGTAGTGGGCTGAAAAGTGCCTGCCTATATTTATTGATGCAGCTCCTTAACTAATCTAGAAAACTAGGAAGTTTGAAGACTAATGGAATAACAGAACAGAGGCTACAAGAATAAAACATCATCTATTTGCCTGAAGCATGATCTAGGATGCACCAAATATATTTGCAAGGTAAGCGGTTGGTCAATCAGTGAATTTCAGTTCTGGGACAGCCTTCTACTTTTCTCCTCTGCTTTCAAATGTAATACCTGTTTCTAAAGCATTTAGAAAAATGGGAAATATTTTCTCCTCCATTCTCTTCACAACCTTTCACCTCAGCTTCTCCAGTTCTCTCAGAGAAAGCAGTTGATGTGCTGGTTGTGATAATAGGCTGTTCATGATTTTTCCTTACCTCTCTTTATTCACCTTTCTCACTTTAGATCATGGCTTTTGTTGCAACACATGTCTTGCAAATACCAAAATAGCACCGATAACCATAAAGATATTCAGATCAATAACTCTAAAGATTAAATGGCTATTAGACACAACCTTCAGAGCAAATCACATCTGATCTTGTTGGCTTGTTTCTGTTCTGGTTTTTCTTTTGTTTCAGAGAGAACAGACTTACTACTTCCTTCCCTGTTCTTCTGAAAAGTATTTTTCACATATAAATATTGTGTTTCTGCAATTTCACCCAATAGACACCAAAAAGCTGAAAAGTGAAAAATAAAATAAATAAAAAGTTCTATGCATTTTTGAAAGCATCATTTCAGCATAATCAAGCATTTAAAGGAATGAGAAATTTTAGTTCACTTTCGGAAATGTTGAAACAGTGATCCAAAGAAGACACAAAACTTTGCAAACAACAGAACTGCACCAAAGACTTAAGTTCTATTACATGGCACTAGAGGTTCATTATGAAGGTGATAAGTTATTCATCCCCAGCCCGACAAAGTACTTATGGTTGTGTTTACCCTTATGTTCAATGAAGACTGCAGACAACCAAGCAGAAGGGAAAAATTCCTGCTCACAAACAAAAACCATACATGCATCACATTGGAAGGAAGCAGACATTTTCTAAAGTTATTCTGGGGGTAAAGAAGACAAAAAAAAAACCAACAACCAAGGAAAAAAAAGATAGACAAAAGCAAAGGAAATACTACTTTGAAAGAAAACCTCCTTTTGTGGTGGCTTGAGAGACTCCTGGCTTGAAAGACTCATCTCTAATTCAGAAACCTACAGTGCAAGTCTCTAATCTGATAGAGCTCTGCAGATTTTCTCTTTCATGCAGTCACTACAGCATTAAACTTTTCTTCTTGAGATTTTGGCTAAGATTTTCCTCAGGTCCTGAGAAAACTTTCCTGCCAAAACTTACATACCTGCTGACAATTCCTAAAGAAAATCGCAAGGATCTCCAATATCTGACTGCAGTAGATTACTCACATTAAGATGTTTCAGAGAAAACACATTTAAAGTGGGCTTTTTGGGGGTAAAAATCACTCTATTCAATAGTTTCTCAATCTCCAAACTCCAAATCAGTCATCACACTGTTATATGTAAATAAATTATGTGCAGTATTTAAGTGATATTTGTGATCACAGCAAAATTAAGGATAGCTCCATCTTCCCAAATAAGCGTTCTCAGTAAACAGCATACTTGATAACTGATGTAATTATGTCATTTGGATGTAGCAAATCTTCCGTGCATACACACATTTCATGTCTAAACAGACCTTACTACAAAATCAAGATTTCAAAGGAAAGACCATTAACTGAAATAAAACACCTTTCTCTAGAATGGATATGTACATCATTGTGGCATTTTTTCTGATTTAATTATGAATCGAATAATCTAGTTCTACATTCTTATCTACCACCTCAAGTTACGAAACTTATAAGAAATGTAAAGTTTGATGTTAATAAGTATTTGTCTGTAGTAGTGGTACTTACAGTAAAAATTATGTCTTGCTTGTGGGTTCCTCATTTGGTGATGCAATAGTCAGAAGTCACCATGCTTTTGTTCTAAGATCAAGCATTTCCTTTACTGCTGTTTTTAAGAAGTCTTCCGAGCAAGTCATTTCAGCATGACATATTCTCTTCTGCAGTACACGTGTGTTTTCTCTCTGTGTTTCCTGCCCAAAATACTCAATGTACACATAAAAATAAACTGGTAAGTTATTTATGATACATGGCATTCATGTAATGTTTTACATTTTCATAGTACTTTACAAAGGGCAGTTGACTGAACAGGTTAAGAAGCACTTAGAAACTTGAACCAAAATTGCCTCGAGTCCCTTAAAAGATGGAATAATTGCATGTCAAATGTCCCAGAAGGTTTTAAAAGACCAGAGCCTCTTTACTATAAAGTAATAGACAAAAATCAGTGTTTCCACTAATTCTTCTTTTCTTAAACATCATTCATGTAAAACATGCACATGCAGCATGTAGTTTAACTGCTGCTGAAAGATCCTCAATACGCTTTAGAGTCAGGTGTGCCTCAAAGTATAAAATTTGCTCCACCGTTTAAAGGAGGAAGATTTACATTGCAACTATTCCTTTTTTAATTGGTGAGTTTCCCAAGCAGCAGTCACAATCCAGGCTTTTAAGCATCTTCTCTCAACTGTATCAAGAGTTACTGATCAGCACAAAAAAGAAGGGAATAAAATACTCTTTAGAGTTTGATCTTATTTTCTGTAACTTCCACTCTTCCTCCCCATGGTCTGCAGCATTATGATTATCCCAGTTCCAAATGTTGACAAAGGATCCTGATTTATTCAGTTCCCTACCTTCAGCTGCACTCAGATTTGCCAAGTTCAGCTGTCAGTAATTTGAGGCATATTAACTGCATTTTTATTGACTCCTTAAAAAATAAGATGCCATAGCTATTCCATATTCCACAAAATCATGTAGGAATTTTACACAGAAAAACTGGCCTGTTAGTTGTAATTGTTGCAACAGTACCTAACAAAGTAGAAAAAGAATACTATTTGTATGGCAATCATATAACCCTAAATATCTGAGATATCATTTTAAACATTTGAAGATATGGCAAGGGGTTAAGAGAATGAATGCAACTCTCTCTTTCTGTCTTAAATATCCTGTAACCCACTTGTAAATATATGCATCCCCCCCAGAAAAGAATATTAGGTTGGACAGAGTCTTGGGTGACGCGGTCTAGTGTGAGGTGTCCCTGCCTGTGGCAGGGGGTTGGAACGGGATGATCTTAAGATCCTCTCCAAGCCAAACCGTTCTGTGATTCTATGACTATTGCCAGTAAAAGAAAGTCTGGCTTTACCCTTGAAACTTTAACTTGTAGCCAAACACTTGTGCGTGCTTGCTTCCCAATCCACTGTTTACAACCCCAATTCTTTTATGGCCAACAGATGAACTCCTCTACACAAAGAGGAAATGATCTGAAACACCTGTTTCTGAAGGTTGTGCTACAGAAAACTCCTTCCCACTCCTATTCAGTTATATTAAGTATTCACACACCTAACTTTCACAGCTTGCCACCAAGAGCTCTAAGACAATATTTTCTTAAAGCCCTGATTCTGATTTTGGGCAAATATTTTGGAGCACCACATGGTTTTGAGTTCTTGAGTTGCTGTTTGCATTGAAGAGCTGGAAATATGAGTTGTAGTTGACAAACAGCACATAAAATAAGATCATAGTAGTATTTTCTGTTCACTTTATACTTACCAATAGCCTAACAGCTATGATGAAGATGCAGATGTAAATTAGAGGAAAATCTGCCTTGCAGCAAGACTTAGTTATGTATTATTTGTTAGTAAGTCACTAGTGCAAGGTGTTCTTTAAATTAGAGAATGTTTTATCTTTTTGTGCATTTTAAGCACAGGACCCCAGCTACTCAGTAAGCAACTGCTTACAGTAACAGTTCTGATGGACAATGCTCCTCTGTTCCCATTTAACTTGAAGTGACCCAGCTCTTTGATCCAGTTTTCTGTCTCTCTGGGAAAACAAACACGTAAATGCTGCCGCCTAAGAACCAAGAAAAATCAATCCCAAAGAAAACCAAACCCCAGGAGTTTCAGGTCAAAACCAAGTAAGAAGTTCTAGGAACTAAAAGAAGCATCAAAGATGGTCAAAGCAGCCTGGCACTGTGTGCTGAAAACATACGTTATCAAGAGAGATTTTCCACACTGCTTTGCTTGCTTGTTTTTTTTTTCTACAGGCGAAACATTTTCCTGGTGTGCATTTCTACAGAAATGCTTTCAGATTATCAATTCTCTTTATTTAGGCCATTTTTGATCATTTTTGATCATTACAGAAGCACACAAATTGCCTGTTCTCATTTCTGTAAGTTGTGTAACTCGTTTCTGTGAGCGATTGCCACAACTCTCCGTAAATCTAGTGTGCCTGCGCTTGAGTTCTGGCAACATTTGGGAATGTGTGAAATCAGTTCACTTAATAGGAGCCCGTTAATGAAAATCTTTGAGTGTAAATCCAGAGTGGGGAAAGAGTCTGACTCTATGAATCAGACTCTATTTCACAGGTTTTCTTGGAATTCTTAGGCGAATGGGAACTCTGCTGAGTTGTCCCCTGAGAATTAAATGCTCCATCCTTGGCAGTGTTCAGGGCCAGACTGGACAGAGCCTTGGGTGACATGGTCTAGTGTGAGGTATTCCTGTCCATGGCAGGAGGTTGGAACTGGATGATCTTAAGGTCCTTTCCAACCCTAACTATTCTATGATTCTATGAGATATCTTGTGCAGCATATCCTGGAGACATTTGTCACCTTCTTAATCTTTTCTCTTCAACCCTGTACTCAAAAATGTTTTGTTAGGATCCCATTAGTCTCTGCTGTAGAATACTGTTACATCAGATGGCCCAGAAGATCTTCATCTCAGGGCAATTTTAGATTAAAAAAAAAAAGATAAGTGTACCTGCTTTATGAAATTGTTTGGGCATATTTGTTGCTCTAATTCCATATTTTGTCCATTTATCTGTAGTTTTCTTCCTGTGTTGACTGCAGTTTGCAGTTCTGACTATATTCTCAAAAAAGCATGAATTATTCATTTCAACAGAGTTCAGGAATATTCTTAAACCCTCAAAATTACTTTACCTATTTCCCCATTTCCATCAAAAATTTCAGGAATCAATTTTAAGTTTCTCTTCTTAATGGAATTTTAGGACATGAAAATAGTCAGTTTTGACTGATGCACCACAAATGCATCTCTCACTCACATGAAATGAATATGCATAGCAATCTATGCTTTTGAGCACAGTAGCATTATATGCCTAACCTTGGAATAAACCCCAGAAGCACTTTCCCTAATGTACCAGAGAAAGTTTTACTTGGCTAGATATACTCACTGATAGAAGACAGCACAGGAACACATGCAAAGTTTCAAATGCCTTTTTGGTGTTCTACCATCAGATAGAAACCTGTTGACATTTTGTAACAAATAAATTACTCAAATTGCTGTTCTCTGAAGGAGGTAATAAAAGACTTTCCTGTTTACAAGGTTCAACAGAGTTCAGATGCTCGTCTCACACCTAAGGCATGGAAAGATACCAAAGAGACAAGCAGGAAATGCTTGCTTGTCGCAAGACAATTAATAACAGCCAGTTACTATAAATGATAGGCTAAAGACATCCACTTCCTTATGTGGAGTAACTGGCTTCAATTCCCAGTATCTGAGAAAATGGGCCAACTTCAAACGTGGCCCAGGTTCAAAGCCACTGCCCAGGGCTGAAGGTGCCCCAGGAGCAGGGGATGGTTGCCCATGCAGGCTGACAAGCTCCTGCGGGCTCAGCACACAGGCACATGGTGAAGTTCTCACTCAAAGTTTCATCCCATTAACATGCTTAGTTCATCCAGAGGGGACAAAACAAAACATAACAAAAAAAAACCCAACACAAACCAAGAAAATCAGTGGTCAGCATCTTCCTAAAGCCTCTCCTACTCACACCTGAAGAGAGATGATGTCCTTCCACACAGAATCAGACAGATGAGTCGCAGGAATAGTTGGAGTTGATTTTAACTGAACTGTCTGACATTGTCCTGAAACAATGAGGACTGCTCACACGCTGCCTTACAGCAGCCTTACATCTTCTAGCTATCATTTCTCCCATCAGGCGCAATGCCTGACAATAGTCCTATGACTAGGTTGTAAACCTGTTAATCCATGAAATGTAGAGGCAAATGCATCATTTCAGCAAGCAAGCCCCAAATAAGCTTGGGTAAATAAAGCAATGCACTCTTTCACTGAATCTGTGGCTGTCTTTATTTAAACACTGAGTGTTTTCCTTATTTAGATAAAGACATGAACTTGTGAAGATGTAACTTTCCTAAAAGTGTAACGTTTTATACATCCATACCAGATATGGCATTTATAGAGAAAAAGAGAGAAGTGCACAACTGAAAGGTTGTTATGCCATTACAAAATATGCAAAGTAAGTATTCAGGGCCTGGGGCTACATGGCCTAGTGTGAGGTGTTCCTGCCCATAGCATGGAGTTGGAGCTAGATGATCGTAAGGTCTTTTCCAACCCAAACCATTCCATGATTCATGATTCCATGAAAATCTCATCAGGTCAATTCCTTTTGAAATCAATGGCGAAACAGCACTTTGGAAAATGCTCACAGACAACTCTTCAGAATCAGAAATATAAACTATTTTTCTAAATAAATATCTGTCTCCTTTCGAAGACATATGAATCCCACCTAGCCCATTCTCTGTATTCTTTACAGGTTCCATAAAACCCCTCTATTCAAGCTCATGTCATTTTACTGAGGTAATATTGACTCTAGTCTATTCTACAAACACTTGGGCAAAATAAGGTACTGTGCCAGAACCAGGGATAAAACTGCTCCTGCTCTATATCTCAGTCCCTGAATTACAGCAATTACAGAAAAAGCATGCAATGCCTACAAAATGCTAACACTGCTGGAAGGTGAAAGTTTGAACATAAGACCATTCAACATCACCACACAGTAGCACCACTGATTTCAGGTGTAATTAAACTATTTCAGATGATTTCGTTTTCATCTAAGAAACAGGAAACATGGGAATTGAACTAAGGATTTTAGATGCAAAATTATATTTTTGAAGGCACAGATATCTATGTTGACACAAAAAGTATTGTTACACAATAGGAAAATCACACCACACTGACACACGACCACAGTGAAAGTAAAACGTGATGAACTCAAAACTGAGAGAAAAATCCTTTTTTTTGACAAGCATTTGCAAGATCAAAATTAACTTAGGCACTTACATAACTATTTTTTACATAGACATATACAGAATTATGTACTTCTTATAAAAATATTAAACAAATAAAATAATTCATAGAAATTAATAAAAGTTCTCTTTGCTAATATTTAAGATCAGAACTCTCATTACAAGTGTGAGAAGGCAATAACAAAGTCAGAAAGGATAAGAAGCAAAATGAAGGAACCAAGAGTAGATCACAGAATCATAGAAT